GGCAAACTCCAAATCATGTCTATACTACCAAATACCAATTACCAATCAAACAGACAACAAAACAACATATTATATTATAACGTAAGTTATAAGCATACAATATTTATGAACTAAGAGTATTGCGACTTATTATATAGTATACCAAATAACAGTATGTCGAAAAATCGTCAAAATTGTTAATAATTTTCGTAAAATTACAATTTCAGCGTACCTGCCATCTCCATCAAACCATCTTACCCTTTTATCAGTTTCATCGTCACCTCCGAAAGTTCCTCCTCCTCCTCATGTCACTGTCTCCGGGTCCGGCACGCAGGGGCCGCACCTCGATCTGCAGCCGGAAGCTATCTAGTCCGAACCTCCCGGCTGCCGCCCGCCTGACCCCAGAACGAACACCCGGGCCTGCAGTTTCGCGGTCGTGGGCAGCATTTCCGTGGTGGTGGTCCTCTGGCAAAGGCTGATTTCCAGACTCGTCCTCCACTTCCCGATCCCGTGCAGGTGGCTGCCGCCGCTGCAAGCCATAGAAATCGCCGTCGAGCATCAGAGCATCCTCCTCTGGCTCGGCCGCTTGTTGTAGTACACCTCGCGCCGTCGTCGAGGCCCAACGAGAACCCCCGAGGTGGTGGCTCGGTGGCCGTCAGGTGTCCTGGTCCGACAGTCCGCCGAAAAATGTCCTCTCGTCGTCCTCAGTGCAGTATGTCTGTAAGTCGGACATTCCCTGATGTCCAAAACCAGCGTTTCTACTCCACGGTTGGCCCGAATCGTCCGGTATAGAAAAAATGTTTAGATTATAGTTATTATGTTATTTGTGTTTTAGATTAATAAAAAAATATATATACCTAGTTTAATATTGATGATGTTATTATTTTTTTTTTTGTTTTATTCATCACTTACAACTAAAATAACTAACATGGCTATGTACACCGACACACCGTTAATAGTGTTATAATATAGTTTGTACAGACCCAATAAACGTGAAGCAAGTAGGTATGTGAAATTGTTTTCAAGAAATATCGATAGATGTTTTTATACACTCTCGTGCATTGTACAACATAAACAATAACAAAAGAGTGTAAGTCAGGAATTGGTGAAATACTTTCAAAAATTGTCTTAAATATATATTTAGTTAAAATACAAAATACATTGGATTTTAATGAATAATATTGTTTAATATTGAATACTATATATAGATATAATTGAAAAAAAAACCTACACAATTTAATAAAAATAAATTGTAAATTTTTTAAGTATTTTCAATAAATTGTTGTTTAACTTGTTTTACAAAAGCCTAATAGTTTTGATTTTTTCCGAAAACGTTGACCTAGTCTGAGTTATAAAAAACATTTATTCAACCGATCCTAAATCCTTGTATTGAAACGAATTAAATATGTCTTAATCACTAATCAGTGGTAATAGGTTGACTGCCTAAAACAAAAATACTTTTATTTTGTATTTATAGATTATTTAAAAAAAATTAATACTAAGTAGGTAGGTACATAATAATAAATAGTACCTACCTACATAAATATCTAAATATTTAATTTAAAACTTTTATTTTTTTTATCCTCTTTTTAAATTTAAGAAGTAAGTTAAGTTAATTTATTTTGTTTTTAATTTTATTATATTTTACTATTTCAGTCTATACCGTAAATTGTTAAAGTTGAACATTTATATCATTCGAATCTAATTTATATGGAAATAATGTATAAAGTAAGAACACTATACTACTATAGTCTATAATTTAGTTTTGGGTTGGAAAAAATTAAATACTCTATTGTATAAACCAATTAACTTTTTTTAACTTAATAAATAGTTAATAAAAAGTGTGTATTGACTTTTAACTTAACTGAGTTAACCTATAGTTAAATTAACTTTTAATTTTTAACTTTTTGTCATTGTTGCATATTAACTTAATTTAAATGTGTTAAAAAAAAAATCATTAACTTGCCCAGCCTTGCATACAATTCATGTATATTTACCAAGATGAAAAAGTGATCTGATGAAAAAAAAAATATTCTGATGCTTAAATTTGTCGTGCCACTAAATATTAGTTACCTAATGTAAGATTTAAATACATACTCATAAATTAAATATATTGTAGTGTATAAATTATATTATATAATATAATAGGTATATTAGATATATAAAGATATTATCTTTTAGATTCTGAGAGGAGCGATGAATGTATTGTATATTTTACCATTATATGGTTTTTTTTTCTGTCTGTCATTACTCATCAACATTTGGGATAATAAAAATGCTCCAATTTTCGACATCAACATCTATTCTGATAGAAAAGTGAATCTAGTTGGTACTTTTGAGAGGTCGATAAATCCGAGAAGTTTTAGAACGCGTCTGGAAAAACGAAAAAAAAATGGTAATTTTTACGCAAAACCATTTTTGGCAGAAAAGATTTTATTTTTTTGATGTAACTCAAAAAAATAATAACCGTAGATCCTTTACATTTTATTAAATGATTTATGATGACTATACATTTTCACTAAATATTTATACTAGTATTTTCCAGAAATGGTAACATTTTCGAAATATTTTGAAATATTTATAGCCTTGTGATATTTTTTGAATTAAGTAAACATTTTTTTAAACTATTCTCGATAAAAACTTTTTCACTTAGTAAAAAAGCTTAAATATTTCATGCAAGGTTTCTCACAAGTTTTATTAATGGATGTTCAAAAATATTAAAGATACATAATATAATAATGCATGATTATCTTTTAAAAGCATTTTAAGGTCACATTATGACAAAATTTCGAAAATATTCAAACTATTTTTCAGTTAGAAATTCCTTAAACATTTTTCTTTTTATAGCTAACATTATAAATTTGAATAAAAAATTCACAACACAAGTTTTTCTACCTCTATCAAAAAAAAAAAAAAAAAGATTACCGGAATGTTAGGCTATTTTACTTTATATTTTTTTTTAAGTATTAAATTTGACTAAAATAGTCAAATGACAAATATGCTAATATGCTAGGATGCAACAAGTATACAACGTCTCCCCTCGACGCTGAGAATCGTTATATTCGTACCTATGCAATGATTTATCATTGCATTAAAATTAAAATATAACATATATCAATTACAACGACAAGCTCGACAACTACTGTACACTAGATCGGTACTCCCTTGTTCACCTTTTAGACTCTAAGAGGAGATTCTTATTTTTTTGCAATTTCACCAGACTTATAGCAGCAAGATAATATTATGTCGTGCCTATATAATATATTGAGCAGCTCAAACAATTATTATTTATTACCCTTCTAAAGCGAGGTATGGCGTTTCAATAAGAATTTAAATTTTTACAACAATTCAATTTTAAATGTGTTACCTATACATCATAGGTTAAGTTAGGAGCTAAAAGTTAGAAAAAATGTATCCAAAACACAGAATTGACTGAAAAATCAACCACTTATCTAATAAAAATAATTTTTTAATTGCATGAAAATGCTTACACACGATAATATCGACTATCGAGTACCTACCTTTATTACAATACACGAGTTTTATAATACGTAGTATACATAGGTACCCATTACCTACATAATTTAAATATATAATATAAAACTACAATTTACTGACTCAATTAATAAAACATCCGACCGGACTCGCAGGAGCAGACAGCATGACGCAACTGTCCCAGACTCTGTAGCGCGGGGGCGTTGTATTCAGATGAGCGATGTGGGGGGAGGGTACTGTAAAATTCACTAGATAATATTATGCGGCATGCGAGACGGCTCCAGTTTACTAAAATATCATATAATAATAATGATAATACGTCTTATACGTGTCTGTCGCAAGTCCCGGGGACGTGCCGGGGCAACGATTTAGTCGGTTTGCTTGCGGTCGTTGTGTGTAGGTCTGTTCTATGAATTTATCACGAAAGTCGCCAAGCTCGTAACACCATCATCATCATAATATTATAATAAATAATAATTATAATATTATATTATTATAATGACGTCGCCGTGCCGACGACCCCATTTTGATGCGTGCTGTGACGATAACGATTGTGTGCGCATATACCTACACCTTTTATAACAATAATATATATAATTTTTTTTTTTTTTTTATTAGGGTTAAGGCTTCGACTACTTAAGTCATTAGCCTGTGGTACTGTAGGGGGGGGGGAACTATAGGTTGTTAACACGTGTGTGTTTTGGCAGAATTTTCGATTTGGGCACCCGTATAGGTATCTGCCATGCCCGGTTGGGGGATAGCGGCACTTGTTCTCCGGACACCATGACTTGCCCGAAGAAAAATGCCGCCCTCGGCCGGGAATCGATCCGGCGACGGCTGCGTCACAACCAACGCCTCTAGGCCACTCCGTCCCCTATATATAATACTATATTATACTAAAGTGTATTATGACTTAAGAGTTGAGATTTTAATAATTTTAGATTCTGAGAGGAGCGATTTTTTGCAAAATCTGTATTTGACGGACAAATTCTATTTTGTTTTTCGGTGCAACTCAAAAACGAATAACCGTAAACGATTCTTACCCAATGTTCACTAAATTTTCATATCTCCAGTTACTATGATAACATGTTCAAGATATTTAGACTCTTTGTGAGCTATTATAGCCATAAGAAAATTTCAATATTTTAAATTATTGTCGATAAAAAATTATTTGTTCAATCAAAAAACTTGAAAGTTATTAATACGGATTATTAACGATTTTCAATAGATTTAAAAACCATTTAGAAAAGCACCATATATCGAATTTGTACATCAACTGAATTGTAGATTTGTAGATAGCATATTATCGATGTACTATCACAAAAATTACATTTTTAACAAGCATTACAACACAATACAATTATTAACAAATAAATTTAGAACAATAGAATAAAATAATAAAATAAAAACTTATAGTATACTATAATTAGTCAAAACGTATGATAACATGGTAATTTCTATGTGGTAGGACGATTTTCTATAGGGGGTTGTCAAGTGATCTCAGCCAGGTTATAGCTGCATTCAAAATGCTGTGGATGTCGTCAATACGTTTATTGAAAGCTCAGATTGGGAATAAGTTCCATTGTTTGAGATGGGTGGCCACAGTCGCAAGCAGGAGAGTCTTTCATTCTCCGTCTAAATACATTTTCTCCACAATATCTTCCATGTCCGGTTCGGAGTCTGTTCATGGTGACCCATTCTCGTCGCTTAAGTGCGAAGCCTGGTACTTGGGAGCATGGGTCGTTGATTAGTTGATGATTTTCGGGGTTTCATAGACTCCATTTACAACATTATACAACATTTAAAATTAATGTACTTACACACGCTCCAAAATATTCATTACTTAGATTATATAAGAGTATAAAAAATAAAATTGTTAAAAAACACATCATAATAAATTGCACTTCATGCTTACGTCTTTTTCGCACTCGTATTAAAATTTACCACTTTAATTTTACACTTTTAAAAAAGACCAACTTATACAAATATAGCAGATCACAGCGTTGCCACAGAATCAACAATTAAAAATTACTTATAATTACTACCTACGCCTGAGTGTTAAATATGCAGCACCATCTCATCTACGGACTACGACTAACAATCATCGAGTTAATTGTATTTGTGCTCCCTATTTTCTGTACCTATTACATATTTACATGTATAGGTAGTTACCTACTTGACGTTTAAAATACCTACCTACTTAAATTATAGAATTAGTACGTTACGTAAATTAAAATGAATTAAGAAAAACAAAACTAATCCGATAACATTTTATTTATTTATTTGGTATAATATTTCGTACTTCGTATACACAACCGATAGATACTTATGTATCTCAAATATTATAACGGAAAGAGGATGCAACACAACTACTACCTAAGTATATTTTAAGTACTAGGTAGATATTATATGATTTTTTAACATTGTTGTAGTTTGTAGGTACTTACTAATATATTATAATTTATAATAATATGATATTATTGTGAAATAAAGCCCCCTACGTTTATTATACTTGCATGACTGCATAATTTTAGTTTCTAAACGTCAATATTGATTACTTATTGTCCTATTCTGCCATTTACTTCGGTATACCTAGCTATATTAGAATATTAGAACAAATAAAGTGAAAGGGGTGCGTCATTTGTGTTAAATCAAATGTTACAACAAATTATTTATTATGTATGTATACCTGCAATCTCCATAAACTAGAAATATTTTCATATAGTCATGTTCATTTGAACAATTGTACAATATTTCATTTAAACACAACAATACTAAGGTCGTATTGATTGTTTTTAAAGTCGTAACACCGAGCAGTTATTATTTATTTTTTCAAACAATAAAATCTACATAAAATACATCGAAAATCACATAAACAGAAATTTATTAACAGATTGCCTTATAAGTGATCTGTGATATTATATTCAAATATTAGTAGGTATACCTACCCATGTAAGATAAACTGAAATAGTATTCAATTCCACACTTAAATATTATTTGTATTATACATGAAAATATGATAGATATCTTCTATCTTCCGTAATTTGTCTACAAAAGTTAAATTTTATAAGGACCTATTCTACATATTATGGCAAAAAAAATGATAGGTAATAACAAGATCTAAAATGCTTTATATTAGTGTTTAACCATAAATGATAAATATTTCATTAAGACCCATGCAGCATTCACCGGTATGGCTAATAGCATGTTTTGACTAAGACATATCAAAAATTATACTGCCCTAAAAAGGATATAAGGGTTTTGCAATAAGAAAAAAAACATTTTATGATATTAGATAATTTGAGAAAATATGCAATTCCTTCTACTTTCTCAATTAATTTATAATTGTTGTTAACCTAACCTAACCTAATTGTTGTTTCACGATTTCACATATCAATTGAAAAATGAAATTAATCCGTTCAGGATCAAAATTTAAAAGCGTGCACGTTGGGTGGCATATCCCAGGTTAGATTAGGCTGCAAAGTATTACATATATTATATTATATAAGTAAGTTGTAGGTATATTTACGTGTAATATCGAGTCTTAAAATCCAAAAATAAACAAAAATTAAAATATTGGTTTATTACCAAGTTATAATATTATGTATTTATGGAGTTAGTAGTAATGTACTAATGTCTAATGTACTTATGTACATAGGTATACTATGTTACTATGTGTATACAGTCAAAATCCAATAGTTTAGAAAAAAATCAGTGTATATTTTTTAATATTTCTATAATAGTTGCAATCATTGTTGTATTATTTTATTTGACCAACTTAGTTGTTAATTAACCTATAGCCATTAGACTGACTGCAATACTTTCTATAGTCGCCACTCACCTGCAGTCACTAAATTTGGCAATTCACTTAAAAACTCAAAATATTATACCCCAAAAATATCATTATCCATATTTAATTTTCTACCTGTTATTAGAAACTAAATCCAGTTTAGGTACCTAGGTTTTTTGAACCGCTCAGAATGTAAAATTATCATTTTTATTATATTATGGTAATCATACGATATATTATATCTAACAACTAACAAAAAAAAAACTGTCACCATGACCTTTTATCAGTACTTACGATATGACCCGTGAAAAAAAAGAATTAAAAAAGAGTGTTACTTTTGAATTTTGTTCAGATAATTATAGTATGTCTGATTTTTGTAAATACACTTGGCCCCGGACTGCCAAGGATGTGAAAAATCTTTGATTATAACTTCACGTCTTCACGGTGATTGAACACATAATCGCCTACGTTTTACTTGTTTATACTAACCGTCAACCGAGAAAAAAATTGTCGTTAGATGACTATAATTGTAGCTGCGTAGGCCTGTGCGATAAACTGTTCGTCAGTTACCGTTACATAGGTAGGTATAGGTACTTATATTATTTTATATTGATGTACTCATCTAGGAACCACGCATCAGTTGAGTTGGGACTTTGGGTATTAATATTATGTAGGTTATCTACACGGCTTTACCTCATAAACTTTGTAATTTATAAAGTAGTCACATGACTATTTACCTCCTTAAAGAATAGAAACATCAATAAAATGTATGTTATGGGTGTCCGGAGAGGGGAGGCATTTGTCCCCCTAAGTTTTTCATTCGGTTTCCCCAAAAACATTCATAAACCATTGCCACATTAGGTGACTAATTTAAAAATAAATTGTTACACACAATATTATCTTAACTTTTGATTTATATATACCCGAGAAAAAAAACACGTCACTAAAAACGAATTATGAAACTAAAAGGTGTAAAAATTATTTATCACCAAGTATCTGTTTTTATACCATATATCTTCATTCGATTATACTAATACCTATTTTCTATATATAAGAGAACGTTTTAAAAGAAAAATCATAATGTTTTTTAATTACGATAACTTCATCCAATGGTGTCCAAAAAATTAGAGAAAAAATATTTTTTGAGAGTAGGTATTGAAAAAATATATGATTTATATAAAATTGATAATCTACGAAGCAAAAAATTGGTAAAATTTTTGGCAAAATCAGAACTTTTGATTTTATCGATTTGTTAAATTGTAACTGTACGTTTTCCCAATTATAGCAACTGCTTTGAAAATATTTATGTACAGCAGAACATTTTTTCAGTAGATACCTAAGGCGTGTTAATACATGGAAATGATCAATAATTGGGACAGATAGACTGAGTGGGATGTGTATACTGTATGCCTTTGTTCATCTCGAACAAGTAAATTCAGATAAATATTAATTTATTGAAAAAGCACTGACACAATGTTCATTTAATGACAATGACATAATGTAATAAATAAAATGTACAATATTTATGTAGGTACCTAATAAAGTATCTACCTATTTAATTTGTACATTATAGACCTGTACATGTAATAATAAAAACGATATAATATTATGATATAATTAATATATATTTAAATATATAAAAGTTAAGATTTGTCTGTATAAGAAAACTCAACATGTATTTTAAAATTATCTCCCCCCTCCCCTTTACCCCCAGAATGACTATCTATAACGTGTACCTAACCAAATTTAAGACAAAATAATTTTTGTTGTTCTAAACATTTTTAGCTAATATTCATACTACTATACTAGCATTTACTAATTACCTACTATAGGTACACTGCTGTATAATAAACTTTAAAAAATTTTTATTTTTTTGCATTTCCTATGGTGTTTAAAAATGCCATGGACCATGGTTTTTATTTTTTTATCATTTTATGTATGATAAGATTTTGGTTTTGGAATAAAAAGGCTTGAAAATGTAACACAAGGTTTTATAAGTTTTCAATATCCAACAAAAAAATTCTGAAAATTCATACTCGGAGAGCAAATAGAAAATATTTATATTGTAAACATTTATTTTTCTTTTATTTTGGAAATAGTTTGGTCTAAAACATTTTGACCATTTGTTTAAACGCTAATTATTAGTGTAATTACCACATTATTAGTATTCAATTACAAATATACTTATAGATACCTAGTACTATAGTAGGTAATGTATAGGTACCTACTTATCAATTATCATTAAAAAAAATAATATATAATACATATAATAAATAATTTTCAAACATTAACAATAACATTTTGTTTTATATTACGATTTACGATATCTAATATATTATTATGTATAATTGAATAATTCTGTAAAAACTAAATCTCCGAAATAAAATATTAAGTTTACTATAATATTTTGATGATAATGTAAATATTATTATTATTATTTATAAATTTATTATTATGATTAGGAGTCGTTTTTACAAGTTTTACTTCCTATATTGATGTTTAAAATATTGAATTTACATTGAATATTGATACAATATTTAAAAGATTTTATAAAATTAAAATTAAAAATTATTCACAAACAATAATGATAAGTATATTCGTCGATAAAACGATAAAATTATAAAACCCTCCATTATTTTTGATAACGATGTTGATAACGATTAACGTTTGTAAACATTGTAATTTGTAATCTCATTTTTGGAGCAAACACCATGTGCCCATGTCCATCTGTATAATTATTAATTATCGTATAATAATCGTATTTTTTTAAATTGTTTCATATGACGTCTGTATAATTTACAGTTCCATCAACAACACAGTAAAACGAAACGTAAGTTTTAATATTATTAAGAACTACCTATACCTAGTTTTGATAAAATAATTTATTGTGTGTATCTAATGGTATTTAATCTTTACCGGTTAGTTTTAATATGAAGACCAAATCTTCGGTGAAAACCAGTTCAGAACAACGGTTTGTTTTCAAATCCAGGAAAGCCGAACGTAAAGCTATGCGCCAAATGAAAAAACAGAAGAAAGGACACTTGCAACAAGTGATAACTAAAGAACTTACTGCACAAAAGGTAAATTCCAAAAAGAAATTACCAAAAACTTTAAACACAACTGACTGGCGAGTATTGGATAGAAATAAAGAAAAAGTTGAAGAAATTAAATTACAAAAACAATTTGAGAAAAGTCGTCGTGAGCAAATGAAACATGCTAATGAAGATGAAGATAAAGAGATCAAACGATTAGCCAAACATTTAAAGATAGACAAGAGGAAAACGGTTGGAAAATCTTTTGTTGATGATGGACTTGATTGTATCCTTTTTTTAATAATAAAATATTATGTAAGTACCTACCTATTTTTATTTTTATTTTTCTAGTTTTCATAAATAAAATAATCCTTAGTAACTTATAACTAGACTTGTTGGACGTGTGTGATCCTGAGACACGTAAGAACTGTTCGTCTTTAAAAGAAAGTTTAATGGATATTGATTCAAATTTTGATGATGATTATAATACTGTTAATGCTTTAAAAAAAAACATTAAAAAAAAAGAGCCAGAAATCAAATCCAAAAAAAAAGTAACATTTGATTGTTCTGATAACTCGTCCAATGAAGAAACTTTTAATTATGAACATGAAAATGTATCTGATAATGATATTTTGGATGATGAATTGGAAGACGAAAGTTTATCGGGTGAAGAATCTCTTGATGAAGATTATGATAATGAAAGTATGTCCAACGAAGAACATTTTGATAATAATGATGATGATGATACATTTGATTACAATCATGAAGAAAATTTTGAATATGACAATGAAAAAGAAGAAAATTTGTCTGACAGTGAAACTGATGAAGATGAAGATCTATCAGATAATAAAAATGATACAAAAACTATAAGCACAAAAGAAGATATTTATGGTAGAATAAGGAAATCTGATGGCACTATAGTGGCAAGTTACTTGAATTAAGTATTCCCTATTAACAAAATTATTTTTTTATTTATACATATGTTTTAATATTAGGAACAGTCGATAGCTTATATACCTCCACATTTAAGGAAAACACAAAATGAAGAATCTGAACAGCTTAAACGTCTCAGGCAACAAGTTAAAGGGCTGTTAAATAGATTAGCAGAAACTAATATGCACAGCATTAGTAGACAGGTGAAATACAGAATTTTTTATTAATTTTTACAACTTTACTTACCGATTTTAATTGTGTACAGATTGAAGACCTCTATCAAGTTAACAGCCGCAATAGTATGAACGAAACACTATATAAATGTATAACTGATGCTATAGTACGTTCAGAATGTGTTTCACCGTACAGAATTATTGTAGAAAGTAGCACATTAATAACAGTTCTACATACAAATGTTGGAAGTGAAATAGGTAACTAATATAATCTTTATTTTATAAATTAAACACATTAGGGAAGGAGTGGTCAATTTAAAATAGTAATTCAATTATAGATTTATTCCTACCTTTAGTATCCTTGTATGAACATTTTTGACTTGAGAGGATGTCAGCTCACTATTTTTTTTCTCTCTCTGGCACACGCGCAACATAGACAAAACGCATTAACGGAGAATCATTTTTGCTATGTTTTTAAGTAATCTTAGAGTAAAATCACCCATTACAAAAAAGATAGAGAATAATATTTTTGAAAGACATATCGATTTTATATTTTATTGTTATTTGACTTAGTATTCGACTCGAAATAAACAAAAAAATGTTGTACATTTAAATTGATTTAAGACAAATTGATATGTCATTCCCTCAAATATATCATTCTCTATCTTTTTTGAAGTGTGTGATTTTACTCCAAGAGCCTATGTTGCTCGTGGGGCCAGAGAGAGGAAACAAATAGTGCTCTGACATCCTCTTAATAATTGTAAATAGTAATTGCACAAAATGTATGTAGGTTCACCATACCTAATACATCATATATTATTATGTTTTAGCTGTTTTCACGTTAAAATTATTCTTACCTAGGTTACCATTTGACACCATAAATTCATCACTCTCGCTTATTTATATGTATCTCATCATTTTTGTCTCCCTCGAATATATACTGTGTTGTTGGAGACCTTAATTGAGTTAAATTATTTATATTTAGTGGCAAAATAATATTCAATTGTATATTAACTTTTAGGTGCATTTTTTTTACAAAGTTTGGCAACCAAATTAAATATACTTATTGAGTGTAATGATATAAAAGTTGAAGATAAAGAATTGGATAATATTGTACTATTGTTGTGTTGTATGTATGCTTTTAAAGTAAGTAAAAAATTAGAATCATAATATTTAATTTATTTTAAATATTTATTCGATTACAAACTTTATTGTAATTAATATACAGTAGAATACCGATTATCCAGACTAATTAATGTCAAGGATATCCGGATAATTTACAATACATACTGAAATACCGACGCTGCGGCGATAGCCGATAATCAGCGATCGATAATAAATTATATTTGTATGGAATAATTTTTTATATAGGTATAAACTATAAACATTATACATACATATTAAAACAGCAGGTATATAATCTACAATGAAAATTACTTGGAATAACAAAATATGATCACGAGTTATTAAAATACATTTTTATTTTTTTTTACTTATCCAGTAATTGGAAATCTGGTTGATTGATGTAAGGATAATTGGCGTTCTACAGTATCTTTTAATACCTAAAAAAATATTTGGTTTTTATAATTTACCTATTAAGTAAGTTTGCTTTTTGTGAGAACAATGGAGTTAAGTAGGTACAATATATTAACGTTGATATTACCTTCCTTGTTATAAAATGTGCATCAATAAATAAGCCATATACAAATTTAATATTACTAAATATTCAATTATGTACTCAATTTGTGAAGCAAAATGTATGGTGACATATTTTACCACAGAAACCACCTATTGCCATCCTAGTATTTTGTTTCTGCTTTAGTATAATATTCTATCACATTTATATGTATTTCATATTAATGGTGACTGGTAGTTTTTGTATTTTTTATTTTTTTTTTCTAGTGGCTTACGATCCAAATTAAAATATTTAATAATATGCTGTTTATTATTTAATACAACAGCTAATTATTGAATAAGATATAAAATTGTATAAATGTATCTAATAATATTAATCATGGTAAATGTAAATACATATTTAATTGTGATATCTGTATTTTTCTCTATTGAGTTTTTTTCAATTGCTTTATTCTAATTATTTAATATTATTCTAGGTATTCCATGGCGGTTTTATTTTTGAAATTTTAGACAAACTACTTATTAAGTTTGAAGAAAAGCATATTGATTTAATTCTAAGTATTTTAAGAACTATAGGATTTAACCTTAGAAAAGATAATCCTACATTAATCAAAAAGTTGTTGTTAGACATACAAAAAAAAAGTTCAGATACTTGTGAATCAACAATAAGGTACAATCAGAATATATTTTTATTAGAGTATTTCTTTTTTTAAATTTTAAACATAATTTATTTTTTATTTTTTGATGTGTAAAATACTAAAAAAATGTATAAATTATGATGGTATTTTAATATTTTATGTTTTCAGCTCCAGAGTAAAATTTATGTTGGAAATTCTATCAGCAATAAAAAATAATAATGTAAATAAAATACCTACTAGTTCAGAACAATGTTACTCAACATACATTGACCAAGTACAAAAAGTTATACGTACTTACTACAAATATAATAAAACTCCAGCAGAATTAACTATATCCTATGAAGATTTACTTAATGGTTGGTGTATTTTTTAATTTTACCTCAATATTAAAGCATTATAACACAATCAAAATAATGTATTCTTTTTACTTTTGTTGAAATCATTAGCTGATAATAAAGGTCGTTGGTGGATTGTTGGTTCCGCTTGGAAGGGCGATGAACAGAAAAATAATAATAACTTACAGAAAAAAGACATGTACGATAAAAAACTACTGGATATGGCAAAAAAATATCGGATGAATACTGATACAAGGAAAAATATTTTTTGTATTTTATTCACTGCTGAGGTATACTTAGTATTAATGTTTGCTTTGTATAAAAAAAAACTTCTTATTATAAAACTATTCATTTAAAATTCTTGTTTCTAGGACTATTTGGATGCTTTTAACAAACTTGTTCGATTAGGTCTAAAAGGTCTTCAACAAGAAGAAATTGTTAGCGTCTTAATTCACTGTTTATTAGTTTATAAAGTGTATAATCCATTTTTTGCTTATGTTGCACAACAATTGTGTCAATCCAATAGAAAATATCAAGTAACTATAACTAAAAACATATAATCTAACTGTTATCAATAATAAAAATTACTTTTAGGCATTTTTTAAAAAATCCATAAATGTGCGTTTAGAAGAAATCGACAATTTGAAAAAAAATCAAATACCAATTCTAGCATCATTTTTGGCAAAAATGTTGCGCAATCATTCACTCCCCATCACTATTTTAAAAGTAATTTTGAGATACAACTTTTTAAAGTACCTAATACATATATGTAATCAATTAATTACTGTTTGTTAGAATGTTGACTGGGGAAGCCTGAACAAACTGATGGTGAGTTTTGTTCGACAGACTTTAATTAAAGTATTACAAGATAGTGATGAAGAAGAAACCACCAATATATTTCTAAAAGCATCAAAAAATCCTACTTTGCAGTTTTTCCGTGAAGGTCTTACATTATTTTTAAGTCATTTCCTTATTAAAAATGCTTCAAAAGACATCAGTGACAAAAAATTAGAATTGTTAACAAACAGAGTAAAAGTTGCACAAGCCGCATTAAACCGCTGCTAATGTGTGCATGTGTGTACTACACGCATCTGGAAGCCCTGTTTTGTTCTAATTGGATTAAAACTTACTAATGTCATTAAACATATTGTTTATGATTCACTGTATTCTCGTCTTTTGTGAACGTAACATTTCATTATTTTATATTGTTACTAGTTAAATATAATGCCTCCAAAAGATCCAGAATTAATTGCTCTTAGAAAAGAACTCGAAGATTTAATTGCCAAATGTCAGGTAATAACATATGTTCACTTATTAAACTGTGTATATATTTTTATATATAAACATATTTGTTGTGTCATGTTACTTTTAATTTTTTAAATAAAAGTACATTATATTTTAACTTGCATATTCAATACATTTTTATTACCTAATAATTTTGAATTTTGCTTATCAATATTTTATTATATGTTTATATTTTTTAAACAAGTAACAAAATAATGTACATTTTGAACATATTATACCTAGTAAACTAAAATAATATTACAAACATGTTTGGTTATAGGATAAAAATGATTACTTTAACCTTTCAAGGAAATATTGCTCAAATTTTAATATTGTGTAATGTTTATATTATACTGTATTAAATTTACAAAATTAAAAAGAAATTCATTTTTATGTTTAAAGTTTAAAAGAAATAATAAGTTATAACCTATTAATAATAATAGAAAACACACCACCATAAATGTGTAAGTACTGCCAGTATTAGGTATTAAATAGTATTTACGTACTAAGGTTTCATATTGTACAAGATAGGAAACTATTGATTTTTAAGAATGTCAACATATACATAGACATAATATTATTATCATTAATTTAAAGAATTATAAACCGTCCATATGATTTTTTCGTTAAAACAATTGTCAGTCATGCTTCATGATTTTTCTTTGCTATAATCTCCTATTGTGAATAGGCATATTATATTAGGTGTATCATGTATATTGTATACCAATTATCGCTGACTGTACTGTCTGTGTGGTGGAAATTAATTTTAATGTCATAATTTGAACTACAGTAAATTAAATTAATATACCTACAACCTACTCAATAGTAAAGTTTTTTTACGTTCTAAGTCCCACTATATTTATTGACTAAACTCTAAAGCCTATTAGGTTGTTAAGGTCAAACCACTATATACCTATATGCACATTTATCCTATGGTCATATTTTACATTTCATTTCATGCCTAACTTATTTCATCAACTATGTACTAATAGACAAGAAAAATGTCTAAAAAATACGATTTAGTGCACTAATGATATTACAAGACTGAAAATTGTTTTTAAACAAAAATCTATTTGTATTATTTAAATGCACATAATATGGCGTTATTGTGATTGATGCAACTATGCAAGTCGTAAATAAAACGACCTATATCTATATAATATGATACTTTTTTAAATATCAGTCTGTGCGTGACGAAAATGTAATTTATCAGACAGTTGGGCAACCATAATATATACGAAATAAAAACAATATTACGAAGCAATATAAATAACACCCATTTCATTTTTTTTAATGCTTTAGTTTACTGTAAATTGTTATCAAATTGTATCCGTTCTTATAAAATGTACCTACTAAAAATGTACCTCCTCAAAGTATCAAAAAAATGATAATTAAAAGTTTCGTTTTTAAGTTCTTTGATGAATGAAAGCAATTTTGTACTTGGTAAACAATGTCCTAAAACATTCGGGAAAAAATGTAATTTGTGTTTTCCAAGAGTCTCCGATTTTTAAGGGGCCCTGTATAGACAATTCATAAGACAATTAAAAATTTTTTAAATTTAATACAACTTGGAAACTTGGAAATTAACAATAGGTATTGCTTCTTATTAGATAGGTATTCAGATCGCTTGATTATTACAGAGTCGTGAAATGTCCTTTATAAAATTGTAAGGCATGAGAAAAATACGTCGAGGTTCACAATATTTATAGGTAGGTATACCTACATAATATGCTATTAATCAGACCATAAAGTGGACGAAGATTTTTTTAAAGTGCATGCTTTAATGTTTACTGTTTCAGTATTTCTCTATAAGGCTATAAATAATACAAACACAAATTAAAAATTAAAATGTTATAGCAATAGTTAAACGTGTATCGATAATGTAGTTGGCCACATGTTGTAATTAGTTTTCTACTTATCAATATTAAATTGCTTATAAATATAATTGGCTTTAACGATAAGTACCTATCTAATTTAAGAAAATCAGTCAGTCCTTTTTGTTAAAATTATAATGTACGTATATAGATGTAGGTACCTACGTAATTTTATTTTTATTAATTTACGGTCAAATCATCTAGCGGAAAGGAAAAAAATTAATTGAACATTTTTGGTAATTTTGTAGCTTTAATAAAAATCAAATAGTGGGATGGAAGAGCAATGAAATATGTCACTCCAGATCATAGACTACTTATATGTCTATCCTACGGCCTACGGTGGTATGAGGCACACGTACTTAGTTCTTAAATAGATTTTAACACTACATATTACACCTACCTACCAATTAACACGAATATGGCGATGCTCAAGGGATTTGTGCACCTCCAAAAAATAAAAGACTTCTAATGTATTGATGTAAAAATTATCAATAAATTCAAAATTGTTGTACTATAGGTAGGTACTTTTATTGTACATTGAGGAGTATAATAAATAGGCTTTATCTTTGGCATGATGAAAGACTGCCCTTGAATGTGAGCTCGTTTACATTGTTTTCTATTGTTTATAATTCGTTATTGAAGTGTATTGATTATTGAATATAATATTTTATGTAATAGGCAATAGCGAATAGCCATTAGGTATCATTTACTACAAAATATTTGTCATTTTAAATTTTTTACGTAAGTATACTTATTTGGCTACTCGTGTTACCAATGGCGTACTGATGTTTGGAAAAAAAATGTTTTAAATTTGATTATTTCTTGAAGAGAAACTTCAAACGTGCCAACATTTCTGCAGCCCCCGAAGTTTTCTTAAATTTGCGCTTAAACCACCTGTGATCTGTATTGCTTAAATAGTATATTTCTTTAATCTGTACCACGGTCTCATGTTTTTTTTATCTATTTTATTATTTGTGTTATCAATATTACTTGAATGTACTCGATGTGTAGGATGACTGCAGTGTCGTATAAATTTCCACACCACCTATTGCTTGTTAAACAACATAATATCACATCGCCCATGTTGAAAGCATGAGGTATTACACGTGGCGCGTTTTTTTTTATTGTGGTGTCCCCTGTAGGCCTAATCCACATCGTAAGCGAAAACACGCGAACGCCGGTCGACTACAATAAGATAGTAATTTTCAATATCGGTACAGCGAAGACCGCACTTCTCGCGTAGATATGTATAACATAATAATATGCTTTTTATACATCAATAAAACATAATATTTTAATATAAATAAATAAATATCGAATTTAACGTTTAATAGGTTTTAATTTATAATTTTTAATTTTGTCGCAGCACGGCATATGCGCAGTTTCGGCTTACTAGCGTTGAATTATAATTTGTGTTTCAGTCTCTGGAAAGTCGAGGTAGGCTGCTGGCTCTGAGGGATTTGTATTTGTGGCATAGTATTGTCCAAGAGGAGTAAAAATGGGTTAAAATATTGAGAGTTTTATAACATTCGTGTGACGGGGCTGGGAATAATGAATTATTCTAACTTATATTCCACTTCTTAGGTAATTAAAATAGTTCATGTATACTAGACAATAGTTGAGCATAGGCGCACATAGGGGGGTGCTTGGGGGTGCTTAGCACCCCCATGCTTCAAACTAGCACCCTCAGTTTATTTCAGTATTTCACCAATCATTTATAAACTATCGTGGTTTATTGGTTCGGAATTTTTCTTTTCATTACAAATATTGACAACTGTTTACGAATTCACGAATTCATTTTTTTTTTTTTTTGTCTGTCATCATCTTTTAGGACAGTAAAAGTGCTTGGATTTTCTTCAACAATATCTTTTCTGATAGGAAAGTGAATCTAGTTGGTACTTTGGGGGGGTCAAAAGCAAAAATTTCACAGTAGTTTTCAAAAGCGCCGTGAAAAACAAAAGAAAAATTAAGGAAAACCGGGAATTTTTACGCAAAATCTGTTTTCGAGAAAATTGATTTTGGTTTTTGGTGTAACTTTAAAACAAATGACCGTAGATATATGAAATTTTCACTGGTTATTTATATTTCCATTTTCTATACATGATAAAATTTTCTAAATATTTTGAGTTATTTTGAGCTTTTTACGGACATTTTTAGTTTCCATTTTTTTTAGTTTTTTTTAGTAAATATCAATAAAATTTTATTTGTTGGGTATAAAAGCTTAAGCATTTAATAGAAGGCTCCTAATATATTGTTTCAAAGACAGATGAAAAATATTAAAAATCCTTACTCACAGTTTTTTTGTTATAAGCATTTAAATTCCAAATATTAACAAAATACTGCAAAATGACTAAAAATTGCAAATTATTTCGAGATAGAAATTCATAAAAATTTTTCTTTTTAAATCTAAGATATGAAAATGTAATGCGAGATTCCTCATAAGTTTGTCTACCTTTATCAAAAAAAAATGTCTACAAGAATCTCAAATTAAATTTTTATCAACGTTTGAAATTCATATTTTTACAACATTTGATATTCACTCGGTTTCTCATGTAACGATTTTCTAATTTTGTTGTAATTAAAAAACGAATGACTGTAGATACTTGAAAATTTTACTAAATTTTTATATTAGCATTTCCTATACACCATATAGTTTTGAAAATATTTTGATTCTTTTTGAGCTATTTACGGACAAATTTTTTCATTTTTCTAGTGTGATCATTTAGTTTTTTTTAGCTTAGAGTAGAGCCTGAATGTTTTTTATACCCGTGCAAAACAGTTTTGCCTATGTTGTACCTATACGTCTGTAATACGAAGACAACACATGTGGGTGTACCTAGCGTCTTCTTTACAATCATACAGACTATTTGATACATTGCACTTTAGAAATTATTGTATACACTGTACAAATTAAATTTAATGCAATGCAGAAATATTAGGATTAGGGGGGTGTGGGGGGCTTTGCCCCCCACGGATCTGTGAACCATAAATTATCCCAGCACCCCCTAAATTAACACCCTATGTGCGCCTATGTAGTTGAGTATAATACTAACAGTATAGTTTTAAATTATTTAAAAGATAATTTACCCAGATACTAATTTAAAATTCAACACTGTAACACTGTCCTAATATTATAACTATAACTATAACTATATTATATTATTATTATCAGGGCCGGATTGGTTAGGCGAGCTACCGAGAAAATCTCGGTGGGTCGCTTAAAGTTTGGGCCGGTCGTGTGAGTGTCAGTGAAAATAAATTCATGTTTAAAATATGATTGGCCACGTCCTATATAAGTTCGTAATAAATAATAATTATAGACGTAATTTTGGGTCACTGAATATGTAATGGGCCGATTATAGAAGTGAAAATCTCGATGGGCCGATACATACCAATCCGGCCCTGATTATTATGTTTATCATATTTTTATTATAATATAATATACCTATTACATTTTATTGATTATTATTTAGAAACCCAAAGTCATATTTCTAAGTTTCCAACCACTTCCTATTCCTATTGGACCTCTTTATTCAAAATGTCTTAAATGTCGCGAAACTCATTCATAAAATTGTTTACGGCCCTGGAACAAAGTGTTTATTTTGTGTGTGTGACGCTACAGTGGTTGATGTGTTTAGTGTGCTGATGAATGGTTAGGGGGCAACAATATTATATAAATATATCTTACAAAATATATAAAATCATGTTACTTGGTTTAGGCATTCATAGTTTAGCTTAGCTGTGTCGACCAAGACTTACATAGTTACATACCTATATCAAAATAATTCCTTACTGTCACTTGGACTCAATAACTTTTCTATAAAGATTGACGGTGTTGAAACATTGTAGGTGAATAAACCAATTTAGATATATGCTCTGCAGAGAGATATCAATATATCATCCTTCGTTATAAAAATTTCATTCATTGTGTGCATCTATGAATCTAAAAAGTGTAGGTAATGGTTTTATGTTGAAAATAAGAAGAACTTATACTTTAAGAACGAAAAGAAACTAAAGAATTTAGGAAAACTCTTAGAAAACAAAAATTGGAACTGTGATCGGAAAAATATAAATATTATTTACGAAAGTAAAAACTGTTGTATATTATACAAATGTATTTTGAACAAAATTAAAACGGTACCTACCTAATGACATCAATAAGAAAATGAATAACTAGGTAGCATACTATTTACTATTTAGCCAGCATATCTATTATTTATTATGATATTTAATATTTAATATGAATAACTTGTTCGTGTAGGTTTGTTTATATTGTGTTTGTGGCCAACTCACGATACTAAAAATGTATCCAGCAACTTTAGACAAAAAAAATTCTACGATTAACCGTTGATTACAGTTTATATGGTTTTTATCTATAACTTAATATATAGGTACTCGTTGAATTTGCAGCCATTAATTAAGGATTAAGAAGATGTACTATTGATGTTAAGAATAATAAAATTTCACCATCAAAAAATTAATTAATGAAATTAATCGTGGATAATGATGAATTTTAAATATTTATTAACCTCATTTTAAACTAAATCAATCGACATTGATTCAATTTATTGAATTTATTAATATTTCCTATAATGTAAGGTTAGAAATCGATTAATTATAGCTATCGTAGGCGATTCCAATTTCCAGTACAAGACTACAAGAGGTTCACTACATAAAATAAGAGGCAATTCAAGTGAATGATATTTTTGAAATTGGGAGGCAATTCAAGTAACCTTTTTTAAAAAAAAATTAGGGGAGGCAATTCGTGTACCTACCTACCTACCTATAATATAAGCAATTGTATACAAATGTAGGTATTAGGTATAAAGGTATACAACTTTTTTTTATGTTTTTTATTCAATCTGTTACAAAAAAAAAGAACAATAAGAACAATTATTGATGGTTTATAGGTTAAAATAAATCAAAATAAAAAGGCAGAGTATATAGACTATAGAGGCTTCCCAGCCCAGAGGTACTAAGACATGAGTAGGTAATAGGTATAGGTAGGTATACAACTTATAGCAGCGTTTGTCAACACTTCAATATTTTGTTAAAACAAAAATGTAATAACAGTGGCATATCTGTGGTTGGAATTATAAGGTCATGAAGAGATGGCGTCATATTGTCATATATAGGTAGAATCCATTTCGCAAGAGAAAGGAAAAAAAACACCTCGTGATTATGTGGTGTGTTTTAAAATTTTAAACACACCCTCCCCTTTTTGTTTACCATAAGTACGTAACGACTTATGTCATAAACTTTAAAAGTGTATAATTGTTGTAAAGAGCTAATTACTTTTTTTTACTTAAATAATTTTTCTTTTTTAAATACCTTAACTAAAGCTATATAATATGTTAATATGTTAAATACAAATTAAATTCTTGTTTGTCTAGAAAACTGAAAATTAATCGGTTATTCTCGACTATTGACTTATTAAGTCTTAAAAAACTATTTTCACAAATTAATCTTATTCCCATATACGTTTTTTTTAAGATTAGGATTTTGTTTTTTTTTTTATTTTGGCGAATTCAGTTTTTTTGGCCGGTGTTGTCTTATTGGTAAGTCTGAATGATTTTTTATAATACGACAAAATTTAAATTGTACCATAAACCATTATACCTATTTAAAAATCTTACAACTTATAATACCTGTATAATAGAATAATATATCTATAATTTGGATATAGTAAATTCAAAAAATTATTTAATTTACCGACTCCACTATACTAAATATTTTGGAATGGTATTTTTCTTTAATTTTCATTGTTCAAATTTTCTGAATGTCAATAATTAACATTATCTTATTACTGTGATTATAGCAAGACCAAAAAAGCAAACAAGACAAAACCATTGAAGAAATATCTAATGGAATGGCTGATGTGCCAAAGTGCAAATTGGCCACTAAGAAAATGCTCAAAGGACATATTAATAAAGTGAACTCTGTCCACTATAGCGGCGATAGTAGGTAAAATAAAAATGAAATAATAACCAAAACATATCTACTACCGTTCACAGGATCTAAATTATAATTTATAATGAATAAAACACTCGCGTGATGTCGTCCTAATGTAGTAATGTTATTTACAGACACGCTGTTTCCGGATCGCTGGACGGCAAACTTATCATATGGGACACATGGACCGGCAATAAAGTACAAGTTATACCATTACGTTCAGCCTGGGTTATGTCTGTGGCCTTTGCACCGACGGGAAATTTCGTCGGTTAGTACATAAATATTACATACGTACCATAGTATTATATTAACCAGGCGTCGAATACTTATTCCAATTCCAAAGTGGAGCGATGGCTCTACTTATTTTTATTTTGGTGGGTGTGCAGTGGCCTGAGGTTCATAAAACGTATATTGAGGCCTTGAGGGCGAATAAATATAAAAACATATATAATAATATTATGATGCATGACGACGAAAAGTAATAAACTCGAAACGATGACGCTATAATATTGATTTCAAATTGTACTCTTAACATAAAACTGTGTGTTGTACAGCTTGTGGAGGGATGGATAATATGTGCACTGTTTACGACTTAAATAATCGAGATTCGAACGGAGGAGCAAAAATGATACGTGAATTATTGGGTTACGAGGGTTTTCTGTCGTCGTGTCGATTTGTCGACGATAAAACCCTAATCACCGGATCTGGAGACATGAAACTGTAACTATTACGCACCTATATTTATACATTTATTACATAAACGTATTGCAGTGCTTACTTGTATATGGTATATGGACGCGTATAGTACCTATATACGTAAAATTATGTATTTTTATAGACATGATATAATATAGTAGGTATATATAATATGTACCCACCCTATAGTAGAAATCAGTTCAAATTACAAGTTTAACTGTTTGGATTTTATTCTATTTATTGTACGTGTGTCGTGTACCTATATACGTATATTAATGAATTATGGAAATGTTATTAATTTGTTCGTGTTCTTATTATACAGTTGTATGTGGGACTTAGAAGCTGGTAAGAGATCAAGTGAAGTAGAAGCCGCTCACTGTGGAGACGTCGTGTCCTTATCATTGGCACCGGAGGACCAAAATATTTTCGTGACGGGCAGCGTGGATAAGACTTGTAAGCTATGGGACCGCAGGGAACTGAAGTGCAAACAAGTGTTTTTCGGACACGAGGCTGACGTGAATTCTGTTTGTGTATGTGTACCTGTAATTTATAATACCTATATTATGTTAACCGACATAATTGAAAAAATGTTTACAGGTGGATATACCACCCTGATATACCTACAGTAGTTGTAAAGCATGTCGTTTACATCTGTAATGAATGTGTTATAATTAAATTCAATGATAAATCTATATATAAGAAAAACGGTTCTGAGCGGAGATGTTGTAGCATAATTCTATAAATAATTAAATTTAATAGATAAAAAAAAAATTACAAAAATAAAAAATATCTCATGGCTATAAAAAGATAGATGTAGAAAATGTGTTGGTAACCTTCTATTAAAACTTTAATGTTAGCTATGAAAATAAAAACTTTTATAAATGTCTACCTAAAAAAAATACACAAAAGTTAAAAGAAATATCACTAATGGCTCAAAAAGAGTCAAAGAAAGTGGTCATTTTAACATTTGGTAAAATGTCGAGTGTCTAGGGTTATTCGTTTCTTACTTATATAAAGATATCAAAAATCAATAGATGAAAATTAGTTAATTTCCCCAAGAAAATCCAATATCGTAAGAATTTTAAATTCAAACGCTCATAAAATATCAATGTTACTTTTTGGTGAACTTTTTTTTTGTTTGAGGTAGAAAAATTCGCGAGGAATCTTCTGTTAAAATTTCTAATGTTAGCTATGAAAAGAAAAACTCTTATTAATTTCTAACTAAAAAATAATTTGAAGATTTTCGAAATTTTGATGAATTTTGTCAAAACTTGATCTTTAAATGCATATAAAAAATAATCGTGCTCATGTTTCATTAATATCTTTAGACTTCCATTTTCCATTAATGAAACTTAAAAGGAACCTTCCATTCAATTTGCAAGCTTTTTCACCAATTGAAAAAGTTGTTATCGAGTATAATTTTTAAAAAATAAACAAAATTCGAAAAAAATGTCAAGGCTAACTACCTCAAAAAGAGCCCAAATATTTCAAAAATGTTACCATTTATGGAAAATTCTAATATTTAAATATTTGGTTAAAATTTAAAGGGTCACGGTTATTAGTTTTTGAGTTACGCTAAAAAAATAAAATCGATTTTTTCAAATATTTGTTTTGCGTAAAAATTACCACTTTCATTTACTTTTTTTGTTTTTCTTGGCGCTTTCTAAAAGTTAAAATTTTCAATCTCGATCTCTCAAAAGTAACCAACTAACCTATCAGAAAAGAAAAATCAGTGAATTTGACAAAACGATGACGAGAGACGAGAAAAAAAAACACTTATCGTTGTAAATACAATTCATTCAATCGTTCCGCTCAGAATCTTAAATGATTATTAATCATTATGAAAAAAAAAAAAAATAATAAAAATGGACATGTGCTTTGTTGTAGTTTCATAACAGTGGATACGGTTTTTCTACAGCTTCGGAAGACAAGTCGGCTCGTCTATACGATATTAGGTCTGATCAACAAATTGCTATGTACAAACCACCAAATACCACTTCAGGATTCACTTCGTGTGGTCTATCGGTGTCTGGTAGGTTTCTGTTGGCTGGTAGCGACGATAACTCGGTTCATGTGTGGGACACGATGAAAGTCCAACACAATGGTAAGTGTGTTTATTATCTATTACCTTACTATTTATATTACAATATGATAATATGAGGACTTGAAATCAATAACGGGCTAAGTGCCGAAAAAAAAAAAATTGAGTTAGACTCGAAAAACGGAGCTATGTGCCATCGCAAACAACCTATAAAGAGGGCTATGTGCCACGACCATAATATTGGTGAACAAATAGGAAACAAATGTCGTGAGAGCTATGTGCCGAGTGTGGTTATACCGGGCTAAAAATTGAATAACTCAGAAACAACTTTTTGGCACTTGGCCCGTTATTGATTTCAAGTCCTCATATATTAATCGAAAATTATAAATCATAACGAGATTAATCTACGATGCCGTGAGTTTGATAAATAAATGTTGGTGGATCAATAATAATGACCCAAATTTTTGGCGATTTTATTTGAATCAGGACAATCTGGTTAGATGCTTATTTTAAAACTGCAACCACAGGTGATACTACAATAGTATTTGCCCTTTATTCTTTAACGCCAGTAGCGGAACTTTAGGAAATTAATTTATTTAAATAATATTACCGTCTTCAAGCCCAAATATTTTTTTTTAATCCAGTTACCGCCAATGGTTATGTGAATGTGTATATCTAATTTTAGAACACTCGGGATATCGTACATACGAATTGCACTTATAAGCGCCTGTCACCTATAATACTGGCCACCACAAATTACTAAAATATTCGGGAGTCGGTACTATGAAAGGAAAGGGATCTCATAATATATAATAGATTAGTTCTGCAACCTATATTCATTTCAAAGTGCAGCCATGATAATACTATACATTATATGATGCCCCTAATAAATAATTACACACAGAGGTGTATTTAAGGGGGATACATGTGCCTCGTGCCCCCCCTTTTACCGTATTTTTACTTTTTTATTACTGAAATTATTAACCTCTCTTATTAATTAAATGTTATGTTTCTATCAAACGCATATATTTCGGTTATTTGATTGTAATTTATGACATTAATTGAGATAGAAAATATGAGTTATCACTATTATAACTATGCATAATTTGATTTTTTTTCTTTGTGGCCTCACCCCGTAAGACATTTCTAAATACACCCTTGATAATATACAATAATATGTTTTACTGGCTTACAGGTACTTTGAATGGACACGAAAATAGAGTAACTTCTCTAAGTGTATCGCCGAATGGTATGTCCGTGGTCACAAGTTCCTGGGACATGAACGTACGTGTTTGGGTTTAAACATGGAAACTGTTATGAAACCTATATATGATCACCTAATACGACTAGTGTTAAATTCACCTAACTATAGGTAGATACAATAATATAACATAATATATGTATTATTTATAATATAGTTACACTATACAATTATTGTATTCGTTTAAACAATTAAAATCCAATCAAATGATGTCTTGTAAAATATCGGAAAACTGTTTAATAGCATGCTTATTCAACGATAACGCGACCGTAGTACATTTCATCATTATTTGTCACGCTTTCCATCCTCTCTAGTCTCTACTATAGTGAATATAATTATATTGTATTGCGAAAAAATAAAATAAAATCCTTCTTTGTACCTACCTATTTTAACTATTAACTGTCAGTTCGTAGTGTGTTTAAGTCGTGTTCTGTTACACAGTGTTATTTTTATTAAAATATTGAATACAATACGTTTATTAAGTGAAGTATTATGATTTTGAGTTGTATTAATTTTTGTTTATTTATTCCCGTTTATATTAACTTCATATTTTATTTTGGTCAGTATTGGTTCATAATATTACAGAAATTTATTCATTAAGCATATGTTTTATCTTAAGTTAATAATCATAATGTTAAATGTTAATTATTGTTTAATATTGAAGTAGGTATATACTATATAATATTATGTAACCATGATATAACTAACTATAGTGATGTATCTAACACTTAAACACTGTATTTACGTATCGCCCGATGGTAGGTAGTAGGTATCTATTTTCATTGTATATTAATTGTATGTTAACCATTATTAACAATTTACCTATTTACAAGGGGATTCTTAGAAAGATCAACATTAATTTTCTCGAAAAGTAGTTATTTTTCTAAAAATTTCAATTTATATAAATCGAATTAAGAAGATTAATTAATTAGTTATAGATCACTTATAATTATTTAAAGTACCTACTGAGGAGTGATGGGAGGAATAGTGGAATGTAGAATATATTATATTTTGAGGGGAGTAGCTATGCTATTTCACTCCGCTACAGTTAGGTGAAACTTTGAATGTTAGCTAATTAACTTCTCAATAATTATTTATATTCAATTTTTATGTAATTATTGAAATTCTAAGAAAATCAATCTGCTTACTGCTTAGGAGTTAGGAATATGACGATGAAAATGTATGCTATTATTCAAACAAGTAAAAATATATATTTTTGCAGAAACGTTGTTTTGTTATGACTTCAATTTATGTAAAGGAAAATATTTACAAAAACTTTCATTGTCTTAGAGAAAATTAGTGTCCTTTAAAATAACCTTTAAAATATCCTTGCATCTCGGATGCTTATACATATAATATAATATCTATAGACTATAATAGACTTATAAATTAATAAATTAATTGGTATACCTATAATATAATATAATATATTATGTCTATCTTGATTTATGGTTTCTGTGTAGCATACTAGCATATAACTGTTAATACCTATATCTAAGTAACGAAGTAAGTACTTACAGTACCTACGGTACCTAGGTACTTCGTAGTTTCCTATACAGGGCCGTATTTGAACATTTTCCGCCCCCGGGCAACATATTTTTCCGCCCCCCAAAAAGTTATTTCTTAAAATGTAAGGAACCTATTATTTTGGTTCATTATTTATGACCCTTAAATGTGGTTAGATTTTGAAATTTATTTTTTGGAAACATTTTTTGTTCAATGAGTTAAGAACAATCAGTGATTCAAACATAATTTGTCGATCGGACTTAGTTTCAACGTTATACACGAGTTTGCGAATTCCCATCCATCGGGATTTTGTTTTATTAAATTTCTTTATTAATAATATAAATATATAATATACAGTAAGCATAATAGGTAATTTCTGATTTCACCAAAATTATAAGAATAAAATACTCACATTTAAAAAAAAAAAATCAAAATATTATTTTTGGGATTTTGATGATGTAAGATTTTAAGGTTTTGAAGTTTTTTTAATCTTATAACTTCAACAGAAAATTTGACCAACTTTTTTTTATAGTACCATCATTAAGCGTGGAAAACACACATTTTGAAGAAATATATTCACGAAAATCGATTTCTATCTTAACTCCATTCCTTCCAATATTTCATACTTTCATCTATTAGTTATCTCTTAAATCACTAGGAAAACCCGTGTTAAATAAACATATTATAGTTTTTATAAAAAAAGTATACTGTATACTTAAGTAAAATAAAAATGAATACAATATTACAATGATTTCTTTATAAACGTTTATTTTTTTTATCTTATTGTAAATAAAAATTATTGTACATATTAATTGAAAGAATCTAGTATCTTTGGTATCCGAACCGACAACCTTTAAGGTTAATACTCATATTATAAAAATAAATTATAAACTGAAAAAAATGTATTATCTATTATAATTGCATTTTTTCTGATCTTAATTTTATTAATAATCAGGACGTAGGTATAACGTAAAAGTAAAATAGACATTATTATAATAATATAATTATGTTGTGTTTTACTTATTTACAACAACACTTGCTGCGGGCTGCTATCATGCCATTATACCTAAGTTATCCAAGGAATAATTATTGTTAGGTTAGTATAAAAATAGATTTGAGAGAATATCGTCCTAAAATAAGCTTTGGAGAAATCTCCACCTAATCACAATACATAAGGAAAAAACATTTTACATAATTTTAAAGTTATAATTATTATGTTGGCTTAATAATAAAAAAAGTTCATGAAAAAATTACCGCCTCACAAGTTCCACCAGGAAGGGCAATGGCCCACCCTGCCCCCCCTAAATACGGGCCTGTTCCTATATAATATAACAGCCGCTGAGCCACGTATATTCGTATATAGGGCTGTAGAAGGGGGCACCTGGGCTTAAGCCTGTATTGAAATGTCAGATTCATTTAAAACATACCTATGTCATAAATCATAATTTATGTAATATCATTGATTATAAATACTATTAATAGTAAATAAATAGTATTTATAATCAATGGTAATATGTATATGTCATAATTATATCCCCCCAACGCGATGTCTTAAAAATGTAATTGGTCTATTGTGAAAATAATATTCCTATACTGGCTATACTCGCCACAGCCGGCTTGGTGGTACCTAGCACCTATACTGGCTACTATACCTACATAATCATAATGTAAATAATGCGTCATTATTATTATCAGGGCCGTATAAGGGACAATGTATGGGGGAGCAAACACAAATATAACGGCCCTAATTCAGTATAGGCCTATTTTTACAAGTAAATAACAAAAAAAAATTTATAGCTAAGCTCGAACAAATATTCTACAATATATCTACTTAAAAAAAAACATATGCTTATCTGCTAATTAGTTATCTACTTTTGCCACACTTAGGTTTTGTCTTTTTACAATATATTTAAACACATGAACCAGATACAATTTATACAAATTAATAAAAACAACAAATTAATGTCTCATGGTATATGGTATAGTCTATACCTATAGCTATGAATTATTGTAATGATAAACGACTAAGGAAATAGGTTATAGGTATACTATGTTTAAAATTTTAAATATTATAACAATAACATTATCCTAAAAATTGACCAAGTTCAAAACTTTTGTTATTTCTTGAATAAATAAATAGTATAGATACAAATAGTCAATAGATAGGAAGATAATAGATATTATAATAGAATAACAACCTACAGAGTCTCAGTAGTCAGTACTCAGTACTACAATATAATGGTACATAGCAATATCATATGAGGGCAGCTCGGTGCCCCGGCGGCTATTACATGTCAATAAATGATAATATTAAAAATAGTTCGATCTTCGATTAGTACTGTTAGTACTTAGTACGTAGGTACCACGGATTAATATATTAATCCGTGGTAGGTACTAGGACACTAGGTAATAGGTATCATGACTAATTTGTCATGCTAGGGGCCAGTTGTACCATCTCTGATTAAAGTTAACCCGAGTTTAATCGGCCAAATTTGCACGGTTAAATATCTGTTATCAGCTGATTAAGCTTAATCGTAGTTTAACCGTAGACGGTACAACTGGCCCTAGGTATTACGAAAACAAGGTTCATAAACAGCGTTCTCTCCCAATAAGTACCTAATAGTTCTAAATTCTAATATTATATTCCATTAAGATTAATATATTATGTTAATTGTTATTAAAATTCCAACTGAAACTCAATCAGAAATTGAAAATAGCTACGATAGTTAGAGTCAAGGTACTAAGAACAATATGACTATGCCCTATCCGGCCTATCCTTATCCATATCTGCAATAGGAAATAGGTTGAGTAGATTTGGGGTTTTAGATTTTTAAAAATGTTAGTAATTACCTACTAATATAAATAATTTGTAAAAATGATTGAAGTATAACGAATACTACCTACATGTAATATTACATATTATATTACATTTTGTAAAACCATACCTATTTAAGGATTATTATCCTTAGTATAAATATTTTAACTGACGACTTTTATCAAGAATATTTATTTTATAGCTTCGTTATATTCGTAATCGCCCTGAACCGTTTAAAGATTGAAAATTCCTAGTCGCCATTATAGTAGTATAGATGGTCAGATTGTTCTAGTGTTCTACATTATTATCCATCATTGGTATGTACGTAATAAAATATCGTGACGACCATTATTTATTCAATATAATAAATTCTGTGATTGAATTTTAAGTTGCTTTCCCTCGCGTACCGCCAGATGGCGAAACCTGTGTTGTTCATGTTGGGCGCATGCTCTTCCGGCTTTAACGCGCGATAAACTAATCCGGTGGGCGGCGAATCATGCACACCGCGGTCCGTGATCTCGTATTCGCCGACCACCGTATTCAATATCATCAGTGAACTGTGATCGCATTATACTGCTTTAGTGCTTTAGTCGTCCAGCGCCCTTCGATAGTCGTGTGCGTGCGGTTGTCTGATAGTGATTTGTATCGTCAATTAGCGTACATCATACATTTTATGTGTATCGACTCCGGCGCTACAACTTACCACAAATGTTATGTCTT